GCTATATTGCTCTCGATACCATTTTTCGTCACATCCTTACGAGAAGAGACAATACAATTTATATCAAATTCGCATGGCTCAAATGTGATAAACACAAATTTGTAGGAATTAAGGACTAAGAGCCGTGACAGGGTGTTGATGTCTAAATATTTTATATTTTAAATTTATTGCGAAAAATATTACCTCAGGGTTTGAACCTTCGAGAGGGAGGTCCAGGTTCAAACCCCGAGGTAATATTTTTCGCAATAAATTTAAAACAGTCCTTCATTCCTTCAAATTTGTACAATACAATTATTGTCTGTAATAAAATTATAAGTTGCATAAAATGTACGTAAGATTCTTCCGCAGGCATTTTCTCTGCGTGAAAGAAAAATTGAAATTCTTCTTACGGTCTCGGTATCAGCGTTAAAGTAAATTTACTGGGGGATTAATGGGGTCTCTTCTTCTAGATGAAGCTGCTGATCTTGTGCGTGTTGACTACCGCCGGAGTCGCGTTCGCCGCGCCGGGTCTCCTCAAGGTACCGAAGGTGTACAACGCCGTGATCACGAGCAATCAGAATCTGTCGCCGTCGCGAGCGTTCCCCGTGATACAGCCGATCATCCATCGAACCGCCGTCGGCTACGTGCCGCCGTTCTATTACACGCAGATAGCGCCTTACTTTGCCGAGCCGGAAGTGGTGCACTATCCGCAGCTCGCCGGCGATGGCAAGGCGGCCGCGGCCGGGAACGACCAGGCCTCTTCGTCAACGTCGCGTCTAGCCGAGTCGACGAGCTTCGGTGTCGCGAAGGAGCGCGTGGGCGCGACCGCCGTCGATCGCGCGCAGGAGGGCGATCCGAAGAACGGCGGTACCAGCCCCGCGAAGAAGAGCGAGCGGGTGCCGTTGAGCTTCTACCCGAGCTACCATTCCCTCTACTACGAGCCGTACATCTACACGTACAACGACTTCAATCCGCACCCCGGCACTTACTACGTCGATTACCAGCCCTACGAGTCCCTGGAGCCGATCCCGGCTACCACGCCGAAGAACGCCGATTCCGGCCACCTGTTACCGAGCTTCCACGACGAGAAGAGAGTCTACGCGAAGAGCGATAGGGAAAAGGTACCGGACGTACCACCGCCACCTCTTCCGACCTCTACACCGAAGAGATCTTGAGCCTCGCAAGGTGGAAGTAAATCGGTCGAAATAAATCGTGATAAGTAGGTGAAGAGGGAAGCTTTACGTATATATATATATATATATTTTTTTTTTTCCATGAGCATTGCAAGCGCGAATAGGTGTGTCGGTAAAATGTATAAAGATTTTTGGTTTCCTCCTCCCATTTCTTTAACCTCTCTCTTCAACGAGGTAAAGATTATTCTTCGTTGTTACACGTTGAAGAATAATCGGTGCTCGTTGGAGCGTTGGCGCGGCTGTGCAATCAATTGGCATTTAGTACGTTGGTCACGCCATTACATTGAACTTTGACTGCAATTGCTTGAGTATATAATGTTCAATCTACATGACGGTGCAGATGTTCGATCAAGTTGAAGAGTCCTAGCTACATTAATGCTACGTTCTATATTGTAGAGGAAAGTCCTTTATTATGAGATAGGCTCCCAATATGAGATAGCGGAGTTTCCGCTAAATTAATAGGCGTTATCTGTTGGTCCCGCCATGAATTTATTGCCCTCGGAGTGAAATCTCTCTCTCTCTGTTTAGTGGAAAATTGATTGTTAGACGTCGTGTAACCGTTGCGAACAAAGATGTGCGGTTGAAGTTGGACGTTGAAAACCTGCTGTCTCGTGTTAGAATCCTATAATAGGACTTTCCTCTAATAATATCGAATCAGACGAGACTCGGATTATTTTTGTATACTTTGCATAGATATTTTTCGTGGAGAGAATTGCGAATTTTTTGTGACATATCTCATGTGTTTGTCAGCTCACCGAGTGACGGTTACGTAACAATATTATAATTTCCCACTCAACGACGTAAATGTAACATAACACGCGTGTTATATAGTACGTTTGCATCGCCGAGTGGGAAATTTTAATATCGATGTTACGCAATTGTCGCTCGGTGTTTACTGGGAGCCTGTCTCGTGCCTCGAGATTACTCGCTTAATGTAGAGTAAAACTAACCAGACGACAACACGATATATTTATAAGAGCATTACTTAATTTTTTATATTAAAAACTTTTTATACGCACGCGTGACGCTATTTGGCACGTTGATTTTTATACACGTCACTCGCACCTCGATCAGTCTACGTTATCGCAAACCTGGCCGGTTTTCTTAACGCCCCAGACCTTAATTATGTAGGAAAACCCCTCGTTCTCGTAACCCTGCAGTCTGAGCTTCGCGTATTCGTGCCCACGTCCCCCGGAGTCCAGCGTGACCGTCGCTCTGGTTTCGTTATATCGCAACGTCTCTACGCAGGTGATGCAGACGGGACCCTGAATGATCACCTCGAACAGAGCGTCGAGGTTCGAGGGACCCGTCAGTCCTAGGAGCAGGTTGTGCTGGTACACGATACTCCCTTCGCACGTTCCCCATCGTAGATTGCCCGAGGCGTTGTACTGGAAAATAAGACAAAATCCGTAACACGACGCATGATATATTACACGTTGTGCCCGGGTAACGTACGAAACAGTGCTAAATCCAGGTAGAACACGATATCACAGTGACGTCAGGTGGAAGTCACGTTAGGAAAAGTTATTATGACGTTATTCGATACACTTTTTATTATTTTGTGGTAAATTCTGGATGTAGCAATGATTTTTAAGTGACTTTTTGACTATAAATCACTTAAAAATTATTGCTACATCAATTCATAGAGAAAGAATTTTCTCTTAAGATTCACCCAGAAAATCATGTAATCGAGGGACCACACGGCATTTTGAACTTTATGAAAGTTTTTCAGGGTATTTTGCGTTCATGATTTTGAGAATAAATTTTAAGAGAAGATTCTCTGCGTGTACTCGATGCCATTACGATATTACTTTGTGTTCTACCTGGGAAATTGAGAAATTCGTACGAAGGTGACGTTAATTTTGTTAACGCACGTCTATCGAGGTGCGATCGCAGCCGTCGTGGGTGCAATTTTTAGCGTGCCTGGGTCGCGTTTTCGGAGCGAAAGTGCCGGATGAGGATAAATTTGTACACGGCGTGGGCGTGACGATGTGGTCCAGCGCACTTCTCTCGGCGCTACCGCTACTTCTCGCTTCAGATAAATTCGCATCGGACTTGAAGCCGGGGTCGACGTCCAGGGCGACGTTCCGTCGATTGTCCAGCTCGGTCTTGTTGTATCGCGTTTCATTGCTGTATATCGGATCGAGCTTCGTGGGCGAATGGCGGAAAATCGCGCCGTCCCTCGCCGTCGAGTTTCTGCCCAGGGATACACGGCCGAGGCTGAACAGGGTGGCGTTGCCCGTCGACGCCGGACGATACTGCGACACGTTGTGCTCCGATCGCGGAACAATGTTCATCAGATCGGCGTACAGCGCGTTTATCTCGCGCTGCCGCGCGTAATATTTGTCCATGATGGCTTTCCGTTGCGTGAAATAGTCGCTGTCGTTCCTCCGCGAGGAATAGTCGGCAGCGAGGCTTCTTCGCGCTCTGACAGACTCCGCAAGGCCCCTCGCACGGTCGATTCTGTGCAGCGGAACCCGCGTGACATTCCCTCTCGTCTCATTCCTCGGGACTGCACCGCGATCGAGGTCGGTCGGCGGCTGCGATCCCGCGGGTGCAGAGTCCCGTCTGTATCTGCCCGCGTGTCCCGTATTCTTCCTCAGCACGAAGTGCTCGTACCTCTCCGGGTGTACGGCGTAACGCAGCGATTCCTCGTCCGAGAGGAAGTTGTCCTCCTCGGACATCGCTTCGTTGGCGCCGAGGTGAAACTTGCCATTGCAATTGCCATTAGCGCAACCGCCCGATGCACCACGCGCGACACCGTCGTCGGCGTACTTGTGCATCACTCTTATGACCACCGGCCCGGTCCTGGACTGCTGATACGGGATCCTCGTCGTGGTCCTCTTCCGCGGCTTTCGCAGCTTCACCGAGCCAGAGGACGATACGCTCGCGAGAAGAACGAGCACCGCGACCGCCGCCCATAACGTTCCACGGCGGACGATCATTTCCGCGACGCGTCGGGTGTCGACGAGCGCGCGCCAAGGAAATCGCTGCACTGATGGACTCGAAGACTTCTCCATCATCTTTGACCCCGTTTTATCTCGGATTCCCGGGGTAAGCGACCTCCACGTTTTTTTCCCCCCCAAGTACGGTCGATTTATCGCGCGACGCCAAGTCACTCGGCCGCCGTCCTGTTCTTTGTGCGGCGATATCGAGCCAGTCGAATTCTGTCGATTTAATAAATGGCTCCCCCGATACTAGGCGCGATGAAAAATCGACGTCTGCTAACAAGTTCACAGATCAGTCCGACCAGCTTTCAAGTGGCGTTTCGAACCGGGGGAAGATAAATTAAGTGAGGCGTATCAAAATCTTACAGGTTTTATTACAAGTATCGTACCTAATTCTTTAAAAAGAAAAAGATTCGTCAAAAAGAACCCACGCGGCACGCATGCTTAAAAGACATCTTCAAGACGACCTAAAGATGCCTCTTAGACATACGCGTTGTTCGGGAACTGTTCTCTGGGGAAAAAGAGACACCAACCACTCATTTTGGGGCCCACAATTAGTAATCGAATTGTTATCTGGATTGTTCGTAACTCTAGTCTTTTACGAATTTTATCCCGCGTAAGTAAAAATCGCCATTGGCTTTTAAAGTAATACTAATCAATTCTCTCAATTAGTTCTGTCGATATTCAGCAACGGAAAGATAATTTTCGCTTAAGAGGCACTAACCGAAATGTTAAGTTGCTTAACTACAAAAGAACGGTCAAAACTTTTTCCAGAGTAGAGTTACGGACAATCCAAGTAATTCGATTAGCAATTGTGGGCCGCAAAATGGGTCGCTGCCTTTTTTCCCCCCGGAGTTTAACGCGTCTCGCATATAATGTAACGTAACATAAATACAGAAGTGGCACTAAAGAAGCGAACTTTTATCGTACTATAATTAACTTTCCACGTTTGTACGCTGCATTGCACGAAACGACAATTATCTCATATTGCTTCGACGGTTATGGAATCGTCCTGTTCGTTGTCTTCTGGTTTTTTTATCTCCGTGTCCGACTCGAATTTCGTATCTAACTTCTCGATGCCGTCGTAATCGGCTTCGTCGAAAGATTGTTCCGTCGACGTCGGCGGGAGCGCCGGAGGGATTCCTGGATGCGACGGCGTCAGCACGGGATAAACCTGGAATAATGCAAATTGTCACGATGTTCGTCCGCAGGACGTACGGTTCGAGCCATAGTGCAAGGATGATGGCGGAGAACAATCCCGTAAGCGGTTCCCAGTGAGAAATGATTCGTCGATTGACGTCGGATCGACGTCAATTTGCCGGTGTCGATGTCGATTCAACGTCGATCGACGAATCATTTCTCACTGGGTTAAGACTGTCTTAAGTCGTAAACGTAACGTGTCTACAATCAGATTTCACGACGTAAGATTTAGGAACTTGACCAATTCTCCTCACATTCGACTACGATTGATCAATTTCTGAAATCTTACGTCTTAAAGTCTCATTGTAGACGCCGCATAAGGCAAGGTAGAGAAAAGCTCAAGTCGCGAAGTTTTTCTCTGCCTTGCCTTACGTCTACAACTTGGACCAAGTTCTAGCATCGCGGACACAGGCCTTAAAACAGATTTAAGAGTTTACGGATCGTTCTCTGCCATCAGCCCAACCAGTAGGTCCACTCCGTCGTTCGTTTCGCTTTGCATCGATCTCTTCTGCAACATTTTGTTGGAGCAGCCAATGAGAGAAAAGTTGTACGTGGAGTAGCGTAGTTTGATGAGCACACGCGCGTACGCTGCTGGATTTGCGCCGAAGACACGGCGGAATACCACGTGATCGGGACCGCAAAAGTCGAGGTGGACCTACTCTAGTTCTACTACTGGTTCGAGCGGTCCCCTCGAAATGACGTAATTACCGGATTTAACGGGATCCGGATATCGTAAATCGGCGTCCCGTAGTAGAAGCTGTAAACGGGGTTGTGAGAAATTTCTGGTTTGCCGCTAACGTGAAGGGTGCTCGGTACACCTCCCGCGTTCGAGTAAACCTGAAAAAGACGCCGTGACATTACAAGACGATGTCCGCGCGTGGGGCGTGGAATATTTTACGGTGTCGACGATACATTGTAAACGTAATAGGGAGAGTGCGCGTTTTGATACGCGGCGAGATATTGCGGCTGTGCGCCGATTCCGGGCGTCGGGTACAGATAATTGGTGCCGACTAAAGTCGACCATAGCGGCTTCGATACTGCCGTTCCAAGCACCACCGCGAAGAAAACCGCGAACGATGATAGACCCTGCAAAGAGATTTAAGATTGATAAGCGTGTCGTTCGCCCAGCAATTTCGATTTTATTTTCAAACAGCGGGACGAACGTTAAACCGTACAGTTAAAGGCGCCTCTACATATATTCATTGTTTTCTTAACTGGTCAACATCGTCAGGGTGCACGCGCTCATTTATCGTCTGTCGAAAGAGTATATAGACGAGGAGCACGCGCAGCGCAATAACTTTCGATGTTTGCGATGCCCGTCGCATTTCGTGCGTTGCATGCGAATGATCACCGAGTTGCAAACAAGATGAAATTACCTTCCACGAAAACGCCGTAACGTCAGCGCGGTACGTATAACAACGTCCTACCAATATAATTCGAAGGAGTACAGGCTCGTTACAAGTAACGAGTTACTTCCCAATCCTGGTTGGAAGGCACCTCTATCCGACGTAACGACCACAGTAGGACTAAGGTCAGGGGCGTTGTCAGAGTGTCTTCAGTGTCAAGTAATTACTACCAAGAATATTCCTCATGTCGCCAGCACTAATTAACAACTTCACTGTTTTTATTCACTATATCTGGCATTTTTAATAATACAGAAAATTTATTGCGGAAAATTTACCTCAGCCTGGGTTCAAAACTGGACTTCCCTTCTCTCTAGGCGGGCGTCTAGAGAGGCTAGAGTCTTCCTAGGCATTTTAATACAGAAAATTTATTGCGAAAAATTTACCTCAGCCGGGATTCGAACCTGGATTCCCCTACTCTCTAGGCGGGCGTCTTCTAGAGAGACTAGAGTCTTCCTAGAGAGTAGGGAAGTCCAGGTTCAAACCTTGGCTGAGGTAATATTTTTCGCAATAAATTTTCTGTATTATTAAAAATGCCAGATATGCGGTGAATAAAAACACTGAAGTTGTGAAATAATTACATTGAAGCAGAAGCACGACAATCGACTGGCGATCTCAACGAGCATCGCTTTGGAGAAAACGGGATGGAAACGTGGAATTTCGTCTCTGTCGGTTTAACGCCAGGTCGGCGCCGCTCTAGATGGGCGAACGGACGAAGGAGCGTAACAACGACAGCGGTTCCATGAATCACCGGCAGACTCACCCACATCGCTTGTCTCCGCAGGTTGCCGATAGTCTCAGATCGTATCCGCACTAACTTGAATTTCAGCCCCGCCTGCGATTTATATATTCCCGGCCTGGAGAGTAGAGCCCCACCTCGCCGAACATCATCTGCGGCTTTTTTTTTGCTCCTACGAACGTTTACTCGTTGTGTCGTCTCCTCTCCCGATCGCCCGAGCAACGCACGTGAAATACGGTGTACTACTATCCTTTCTTCTCGTTTTTTCCCCTTTTCTTTGACGCGGAACTCGAGCGTAGCGCGATTCACAGGCGTGAGCCGTTCGAGAGGCGGCCTCGGTGTCGGTTTCAATATCGGCGTCAGGGATCATCGAAACCAGCACTCATTCAACAACAGTTAGGCCAAATCACCTGACGTTTGCTGATATCCTTGATCGTAAACTTATGAACTTGTTATTATCTGGTTCCCGCGACGATTAATATACGCGCCGCGGGGGAGATTTAAGGATATTCCCTCGCGTATCTGTTTCCGCCTTTCGATTCCCGATTTTTTTCGAGAGGCAAATGTCTCGGGAGACCACGATCGGGGACCACGTCGGCGCACTTGGGGCCGGGGCTGACGGGACCGATCCGCCTCGCGACGGCTGTTCTATCGGGAACATCTGCGCCCGCGATCGGCCACGACGAGGCGCGAGGCTCGTAAACGTAAAGTTCCGCGCGAGAATGGATCGCGCGAGATTGCGGCGGTCAATAAAGTCCGCCGCGTATTGATCGCCATGTAACCCTAACCGTCCTTCCCGCATGATTCGCGAAGGACGACGAAGGGGAAGTCGATGTGCGCGCGAACGGAGAGTACCGGATAGCGTGAGTACTCCAGGTGGGTTTCAACGTCGAGAGGTACGGCCGCGTGAACCGGTTGAGATCTCGCGCTTAGGTCATGAATAAGAGGCGTGGTCGGGCCCGGCGTGCCCGAGTCTCGCGGACCAAGTCGGATTTGAATTTCTAATGTCCCCGCGACGATCGTCGATCCGCGGCTCTATCATGTGTCCTTTTTATCCCACGCTGTCGATCAGGCGGTTATTAGCGCCGTAGCGCGCGAACGTGACGTCGCGAGTGGGTGTCACCGCCGAACAACGGTCACCTTGATGACGAGTTGGCGGCTGAGACTCGGCGACATTATAATTCGACGTTTTACCAACCGCCGTTGATCAGATAAACGTGCGATACTCGCTGAATGACGTTAAGCTGCAATTTCGTCGACGCGATCGCCTCGATGAGGACGCCGATAACTATAGGTGTCCCGGGGAGAACGAGTGAAGATTTAGCGACGGCGCAATCTGACAATCGCTGTCGATCAGAGAAATGGACAATGTGTACTAAATGAACACGCGATCGATCTAATTGAATGTTTCTTCTTCTTCTGCTTTGACGGCGCCGACGATAACTTCAATGTCACGTGTTTGTGAGTTTTGTCCGTCGCGAAGAAATGGAATTGTCCTTTTGCATTGGCGTTTTTTTATTTTTCGCAGAGGCTTTCGTGAACGCCTAAAAATTGTTAACCCTCGATAATTCATGTGATTCGCCACGAATCGTGCGGATTATACCGTGACTAAACGTTACGTTTCATGTAAAATTGAACATTTCAACCTTATTATTTATTATTCTTGTTATCTTGCGGCTTTGGACGGCTTCCAGGTATACATTCGCGACTTGATTTGCGTCGGTGTGATTTACATCGTTGTGTCACTTTTTATCGCGTCACGTCCTATTGTGTTTGACTTACATTAGCTTAACCGACTTTAACCGCATTGCATTCAATTAAACTCATCTATACTGCGCCTGGACTCTGATATATGAGCTCCACAAAGGAAAAGCAAACGTCATGGGACCAGCAAAATAACTAAATGAAGCAATAATAAACGAAGCGAAGCAAATCACTCTTTGATTACCCATTAAGCTAAATTAACTTCATAGACACGGCAAGAATAGACTGCGCGTTCTCTACGTGTTGAAAACATGTACAGAACGAGATATATAGCTGACAGTTGAGTGCTCGTCTCATCTTTGTCTAATAACGTTTGACGATTGATTTGTAAATTCAATAAAAAGTCTCACATTGGGTACCTTCGCACGAATACCTGCGTTTGGCTCGCACTGGCCCTCTTTCCCCCACCAAATGTCCCTCCACTAAATGAGGTTGCGAGAAATAGAAATGCGTCAAGAATATTTTTTGTCTCGGTAACAGAAATCCTTTCTGAGGGTGCGCGGTCTGTGTATTGTACGTCATGATTAACTTACAGTGAAAATCAACGAGATTTCAATTATTTTACCTTCATTTCGCGCGAGTTGGAAAGCGCTCGTTTTATACCTGAATAATGCAAAACGCCGCGCCCAGTTGGTCAATGATTTTGTAAATTTCCTCATTATCACCGAGTAAGGTCAACAACGTTACGAGCGAGGAATCTGCGAGCGACGGATTCGCTTCGAGATACTGTAATTTATGTATGGTATAATTTACAACACTTACTGCTCCTTCTCCTCACGCGGGATTAACAATAATCGCAACGCTGTGCCTCACTCGCGAAGCAGGTTATTAATGCCACGACCAGCAGAAGCGTAATTATAGCGTGTGAAATTATCGCGGGATTAACAAGAGCCTCGGCGCTGTCGGTCAAACTCGAAGGCTCGCGCGTATTTCAGAAGATAGATAGATCCCAGCCTAACGAGAGGAGAGCGTGGACCAGAGTTCGAAACGGAGCGCCCTTTCGGCAATCGATAGGGAAGGGCCTCGTGAGAGGTCGACCGCGCTCGTGGAACTTCGCACGTTCGCTGATCAATCCGCGGGATTGCACTCGCATTCATCAACAAGTGAGCCTCGTACACCCGAGTCGGTCTAATTCGACCTGGTTCGCCGATTCCGCGCGGCACTCAGTCGCCGTTCGACCCCGAGGTCGCGCAACGTCAGTCAGTGTTGGTGATCGTCGACCGCGACGCTGTCCTCGCGGGCGAAGAAGCCTCGTGGAGCGACTCGGGCCGGGCCGCATTTTCCAGCTCGACTGCTGCTTCTCTCAACGCCTTCCTCCGTCGGCTCGATTCTCTTAACTCGGTCCTCCCCGTGTCGGCTCGTTTCATCGGTAAACTCCACGAAAATCGTGTCGCGTCGTTCAACGCGCACCGTTTCGTGTGCAACTCGAACGTCTTCATGCCACACTTGACTAAACGTGCGCACGCGAATATCGCGACACCTCGCTGACCTTTTCTAATTAAGGAAACAGTTCGGGTCTTCTTTCCGGCGTGGCGTCCTAATTACGACCAACGACTGCACGCGTTGTTCGCAGAGAAAAAATTTTCCCTGCGATTCTCTGGTCTCTTGTTGAGTTTGACGTGTTCAAACAATGAAGAACCGAAGCCCGAGTGGTGCTACGTCAGGCAGACTCTATTCGCTATTAGTTATATTACGCTTTGGAGGGAAAAAAAGACAGTTAGCAACCCATTTTGAGGCCCACAATTAGTAATCGAATTATTTGGATTGTTCGTAACTCTAGTCTTTCACGAATTTTACCCCGCGTATCTAAAAATCGCAATTAGCTATTCTATCTATATCCAAGATTTTCAAGTAACACCGATCAATTCTCTCAATTAGTTCTGCCGATATTCAGTAACGCAAAGATAATTTTCACTCGAGAGGCACTAACCGAAATGTTAGATTGCTTAACTACAGAAAAAACGGTCGAAATTTTTCCCAGAGTAGGTTGACCAGTGTTTGACAATGAAAATTCGCGAATAGCAGCACTGGTTCATTTCTCTATTTACGTTATCAAAGTGAGGCGACCTTTAAAATGAGGCTCCTTCGTCGAAAAAGGTTTTTTTCACGTAACTCTGCCACGAAATTTGGACCGCGCGCGTATTTTGGAAAACTTCGATGTTATTTCACCGCCACGCATACAATATAACAATCGGGTGAAATTTTGCAACGTGCCCACCTGCCCGCCGTAACTCATCCTCGACGTCCCTTCGCATTCTCGCGGAACCGACGACGCTTCCGAAGACTGATACAGCCGCGGAAGTATTTTTCGTTTTGGCAAACCGAGCGCGATTCCGCGGTCTTTGACGGCGCGCGGTAAATAAACAGCAATTATTTTCCCGAGATTTCTCGCGAGAGATGCGGAGAGAGAGAGATTTCGATATCCCAGATGTTTCTGCCAGTTCTCTATTTCGAAAATTATTTCGTTTCGGAAATACACGCGTCCGCCTTCCCGCGCGCCTTCCAAGAATCGGATCCAACGTGAGAGCGTTGTGCAAATACCTGTGAATATTTTGTTCTTTTTTTTTAAATCTCCTCTTAAGAACGTGCGAGCACGTTTTCTCTTTGTTTAACAAACCGCTTTGGCCTCCTATATATATGCAGGAAGCGGTAAAAAGCTTGGCGCTCCCGCGGCGGCGAGACTTCGGCGATGCATCGCGGCGCATCGGTCGATGACGCCAGGGTGCTGGAGGAGGCGAGGGTGTTATCGCCAAGACGTGAGAGAAAGGGGGCGCGATTTTCGGGAAGCGGCCGTCGCTAAAAATAAACGCGCCCCGCTTCCGTATGTGTGCGCATCCGTGTGCGCGCGCGTTATGCATTTAAACATAGTTTTGGCAGGCAGAAACGTCAAACCGCCGCGGAGTGGCGGAGCGCGAGGGTCGGCTTCGCGAATTTCGCGCGCAGGGAGAGCGAGAGACTCGTCGCGCGACCTCGCGAATCGACGGCCGTCGCGCGCCGGATAGGAGAGACGATCCTCACCGGGGACTTTTCCCTCGCTCCGGAGAAGAAGCCGTTGAGAATTTTTACTCTCGCGGGCCCCGTTCCTTCGAGCGGTCGCGACCTATCGAAATTCACCCGCCTCGATATGGGCAGACGGATAGAGGGGGAAATATGAAAGGTGCACCGGCGAAGTACGACAAGGAGAATCGGCGACCGATGGCGGCGGCGCAACCGGTCGACGTCCAGCAGGAAGAGTAAAGAGCCTAGAGGACAGAATCGTGTGTGTGTGTTTTGTGTGTGTGTGCGTGCGTGCGCGCGCGCGCACGTGTTTATGCGTACGTGCGTGTTCGCCATCGCGGTTTCCGGTTGTACGCACGGTTGCGCGTACGCCCGGTATGCGCCCAGTATGCGGTCCTTATTTCGATCCGCTACCCCGACGGGATCGGTATATTTATACGGCGAGGCCTCGCATTTTTCCTCCTCGATATCGGCGATAGCCATTAAAATAGGCTTGTTCCGCGAAAATTTAAAAAGACTTTAATGACGAGCGCGCTCCGGCGTGATGCACGAATTATTTATTGTAATTATTAAGCACACGATTACGTTCCCTTAATAGTTCGAGCACCTTAAACGGCTCCGCAACAAATTTCGTGCAAATCGGTAATAAATCCGGGCGGACGGTAATCTGGCCTCGCGCACGTACGCTCGCGTGCGCGCGCTGAATTTATCTCGTTCGATTTTTCCTCCCTCTTTTTTTTCTTCTTCTTTCCTCTTTTGTCCTTTTACCGAGACCGCGCGCTGCGTCGACCGGACGCGTATTTACCATTGACATCGCGATTCGTTATACGCTTGGGTCAGCTCTTACGTACCAATTAAACGTACGGCATTGCCGGCCGCGAAGCGGTACATTAATTGTCGTTCGAAGATATCGGAGGAGCGTGTCGTCGTTAAAGGAGCCTGGCGAAACAACGCGACGTTCGTTAATGGATCCCGCTTAATAAGCCGATGTCGAGGAAACTCTGCGATTGTTACACCGTGTCTCGGCGGACTCGTCCGATCGTCGCGGCTTCCCAGATAGCACACGTAGTTCTATGAATATTCGTCTGGAGTGCAAATACAATTTGCCAGATAATTTGATTACTAATTGTGGGCCCCAAAATGGGCGGCTGACTGTCTTTCTTTTCCCCCGAGTACAATTAGAAACCGTGCATTCATAACAAAGAGGAAAGTTTTTAGAATATCCGTCGAGAATGCCTTTGGAATATTCGTTCAGAATAACTTTTTAATATTCATCGAGTTTATGTATTGCGCATTGTTTATTGTGTAATGCACTTATCTTATGCAAACGACAGTGAAACCTGCGATCATACCGTGCATAACCGACGCGCTATATTCGACAGATTATTCTATTCACACACTGAAAAAAATTTCTGGTTGAATATGGACGAATCAGATAATTCCTTTAGGATTTACCAGAATTCCTGTAATCCTACAGAAATTCTGGTAAATCCTAAAGGAATTCTGGTAAATCCTAAAGGAATTATCTGATTCGTCCATATTCAACCAGAAATTTTTTTCAGTGCATTCGAAAAAGATTTATAGTAGTGCCGGTCGAATGCTCCACGAACATAAGACGAATATATAAGAATGACCTATGGAATATTTCAAATATCCCTGAAGAATACTCGTAAAATGTTCATAGGAGTGTCCTGTGCTATCCGGGATCTCTCATTGGCGCAACGCACCGATGCAACGCTTAACGCAATAACTCACACGCATTCCTTTAACCCCTTCGGAGGACGTTCACTCGAACCGCACGCACACGCAGCAGAGGAGTACACCCGTAAAGAAATGTCTCTGTAATCTGCGAACTATGAATAAATATCTTATCGCTAAAAAAAAGAAAAACGTCAGTCCTTTTGTTCTTACTTTTGTATGTCTGCCTGCTTGAGGAGCTAAAATAGCCCGCGTCAGATATTCCGCATGCCGTCTTCCGCTTTTAGTCTCGCTTCGCAAGTCTTTCACGCAGCTTGAACGTGAGGAAATTCTATTTAATAAGAGTCCCGAAAAGTCGAGCGGAGCCAAAATCAAAATGATTTCAACACGCGCCGCTGATATTGTCAACGATATTTCGCATAAACGTGGCCAAATAGAACGTGTCGCCCACCGGCACGCTCGTTTCTGGCCGATGCGCAGTTGGACGCTTAATTATTCGATAATGAGCCCCTGGCGTCCGTCCTTCCGGGAGTCCGCGCGAGGACGATCCGCGCGGCGGACTATTTTAGATCGTCGCGCCTCACCTGGTTCGCGTTAATTAACCTTGGCTCTCCGGCGAGCGTCGATTTTCCGATGGTTGACTTTGCAATCCCCGCGACATTGACTAACCGCGACGAAGCAGCCGATTGCGAATCGCGATTAACAGTTGTTCCGACCGCACTGGCAGAGGGCCAATGCGGATTCATTGATGCGACGAGGCCTACGATCGCACGACGCGCACCATTGTCCATCGCGTCGCGTCGCGATGGAAAGCTTATCGCTCTTCGCGTCTGTCGCCGCGGCTGTCCTGCCCCAGTAGCACAGTGCGTGGCCCAAGCATTGGTCAAACATTGGCCCGATATTTGGTTGCACGCCGCTTGGTTGCGCGCGGGAAAATAACCATCTTTCAATCATCTTTTTCAGGTACCGTAAGGGTAAGGCGACGCGAAACGTTAGCTTGCTGCAGCCTTTGTAATCCCTCATCGTTTCACTTGTCATCGTAGGCAGAGCTCGATTGTACGCTTTTGCGCCTAGCGCGCGTATATCACGTTTGACGCGCTCTCACCCCGCCGCAGGCACCCCGAAATCGAGAATGGCTTTTTGCGATTTCCGCGCTGGCGACGCGCGTCGAGCGGGAGAGTAAATGATATTTCGTTGTTTTGCGATGCGTTGTCTAGTGTGATGTCAGCGGGTAATAAAAGCGCGGACGAGGTTGTGAACGATGCGCTGTTGGAGAAGCTCCGAACTTACGCGGCTAAGCCGCAGGAGGCGGCCGACGCGCTCAGGGCGATCGCGGCCAAGATTCACGCGCGTGTCACCTCATCAGGTACGCAGCTCTACCGGGATCCCGGCATCTCGCAACGACAGACTCGCGGTGACTTTGTATCTCAGATGACAGTCCTGTGCCAATTTAACCTCCCTCGGTAGATTTAATAACGCCAGTAGTTTTAAACCAATGACATGTAGTTTTTTTTTTAAAAACGACCTACACTGGCCGATATTTTTATTTAAAAAAAATCGACGTTTCGGTTTCCCAGATTTGGACCCTTTTCAAGTAATCTGTTCACACAATTGTTAATGATCTCATGTCGTTCGTTTAAGATTACTTGAAAAGGATCCAAATCTGGGACCGAAACGTCGTTTCTTTTTTAAATAAAAAAGGCCAGCTTAGGTCGTTAAAAAAAAACTACGTATCATTAACCTCCCTTCTTACAGCATTTATCAGCGGTAACGAGTTTCTCGATTGTCCGCACGCTACTCGTAATAGACAGTTTCACAGAATTTTCTTTCGATGGCATAATAGCTACGTGTCTCGTTTACTTTCATCTCTTTGCCACGATTTTATCGCGAATTAGCGACGCCGCGGCAATTTCCCTTCTCATTAGTGCTTCGTATCGCGTGTCGTCTCCATTAATGGTCTCGTACGATAAGCGTACGATATTACGCGCGAATCGCGATCGCGGCAGTAAAGTTCTAAACGACTCGGAGGGTAGATTGGACACTCCAGGGAGAAATTCGTGCCGGTATATTATTACTCTCGGCGAGCACGAAATCGCGGCGGAACTTGCGCGATTTATCATTCTCGTGTGATTCCCCTCCCCCGCAACGGATGGCGAGGGAAATCGTTCGTCACGTTCTGCGCCATCGCATTGTTATTACTGCATTTGCGTCGCGTCGGTTCGTATGAAACTTGATCAAATCTACGTAAGCCACGCGAAACTTTTCGTGACACTCATCGGGGAAAGATCAGTCGAGACGCAAGTGCGTGATAAAGAAAAAATGCATTCCGTGTCGTAGTAGAGACCCTGTAATCAGAGACTGGCCGTAAGAGTCTGTCAAATTCCCGCGAGTGTGAGAGAAACACAGGTGCTCTTAGAGACCCTGCAATCAGAGACTGGCCGTAAGAGTCCGTCCAATTCCCGCGAGTGAGAGAGAAACATAGGCTATCTCGCTCTACGATCGTAGAATCGTAGAAGACTCGCGGGAATTTGACGAACTCTTACGGCCAGTCTCTGATTACAGGGCCTTCAGGCTATCTCGCTCTTCTACGATCGTAGAATCGTAGATCGTAGAATCGTAGAAGAGCGAGGTAGCCCATGTTTCTCTCTCACTCGCGGGAATTTGACGAACTCTTATGGCCAGTCTCTGTCCGTACAGCACGCATGTCTAAAAGACATCTTTAAGACGTCTTTAAGTTGTCTCTTAGACACACACGTGTTGTTTGGGTGATTACAGGGTCTCTAGGTCATAGCACTCTCGGCCAGCGGCACGACAAAATTGTGCAACGCAAATTCGTCTCACTTCCGAATGAGCTAATAGTTTGACGCGGTCGTGTATTTATTACTGCACTGTGATTATCGCAGAAACGCTGTACGATTATGAAATATTAATTCGTCGGTCCGTCCTGGACCTTCGGACAATCGGCGAACAGGTGTGCAAACAGCACTCGTTCGCTACCGCGCGCTATTTTGGGACAGAAGAACCGCCTGTTAGCTGATTGCGTAATCACCTTCGGTAACACTGACGACAGACCCGTTGGCCGGCGTCCAGGAAACTATGACTCTGAACGATACACGCTCTTCGGGTCGCGCTCGTGCGCCGATTTGATAAGGGCCTGGCAATCTTCCTGGTCGGTGTTCTCGCGAATTTACTGCGCGGTTGAGTCCCGGTTCGCGATTTCGCGGCTAATATCATCTGATACTTTGCGACATAGTTAGATAGACGTTACTAAATCCTCGCTGTAGGTCACGTTTCACGTCACCGTAGTTATATCCGCTATCGTCGCGTCAGAAGCGAAAACTCGCGCGTGTGAATTGTATTATTCCCCATACCGTTGATACTCGTAGTCGCAAAGGTGTTTAATTAACTCCGCTACGTGAGCTTTTTTTTTTTTACGTACGTTGTAACATTGATTCCAATTGGCACTCCGTCAACTTTGACATAAGAGCGTGTCGTGCCACAGTGTGCGGTATTCTTGATCTCTCAGAGAACGTACCGTCGTACATGTGTTAAGGCATTGGCAGGACACTCGTGCATCTGGCGCCACGAAAAAAAAAAATGCGGTTTACGAATCTGATTCCGGCAACAACAGAGGCTAAGACCGCTTATCACTTGACGTATGTATTCCAGATCGGCGGATACGCGAGCGCACGTTGGAAAAGCTCTGGCGCAAGAATTCCGGGGCGATGGAATCGTTCATTATGACCCTGGAGGTGAATAATTTTTAATTAAAGTAATCTCCATCACACGTTCGGCTCTCCTCGCTCCCGTTAATTGTAACGTGTAGCGTCTTATCGGCTAAGCTACGATCGTTTCGCGTGTCGAGCCGTGGTCGATACGCGTATGTGCGAGCGAGGGAGATAATTATATGTGGGTTTACGATTCATTCGGCGGGCACATCATTGACACGACGTAGAGTTTGAGTAACCGTGGTAATTAGTGCTATCTGCGAAATATACCGCGTCCGCGTCACGCAACACGCATCCTGCATTGTCTGCACGCTCGAGAAAGTCGCGGGACCGAGGCTCGTAAATCTGGATATCCGTCCGTTCCGGGTCCCGACAAGTGTCGGAACGCCTCGCGTAAAATAATCGCTCGCATATTACCCACGCGATTCTTTGCAATTACTTTTTGCTATTATCGTGGCAATTTTTGTCCCTGTTACGTCGCATAGAGGGGAAAAGAGGGAAAAAACTCAACGTGTTCCTACGCAACCCGGGTTCACGAGTCGATGAAGAGTCCGGTGAATTTCATAACAAAATTACCTTTTTAAAAAAAGTACAAAAAAGGCCAAGTATACGCGTAGAAGGAACAAATATGTAATGAGCAAAATTTTTGTTAAAAACAAAACTCAAATCTTCTCTACAAAAGAAATGATATAAAAAAATTGCACCAACTATAAAAATCGCATTAAAATGTTCTGTCCAATCTGGTGAATATCATATTGAAATCGAGTTGAGATTATGTGCAAATCAATAACCAAGGTGATATTTAGAAGATTTCATTACGATATCTGGAAAATACTCTATAGATGCCCGCGATTTTAACTGATATCATATTGAAGTCGAATCAACATCTCCACACCCTCAGAAAGGATTTCTGTTACCGAGATAAAAATATTCTTGACGCGTTTCTACTTCTCACAATCTCATTTAGTCATAAAAATGAGACAATATCAAAATGCATTTATCGACTCGACTTGAATATGACATCTACCATGTATCAACTAAATCATCAATAATTGGTCGACACTGATCGATTTGGTCATCGACTTGTGAATCTGAGAATCCGCGTTGGCGGAAAATTGACGAACAATTGACACTACGCTTCGACATTTGTCTGTAGAATTGCAAGGACCACGTTGCTAACTACAGTGTCACCGGCATATTGCACGAATGTATATCTCCTCGAGTGACCAAAGGCAAATCCAAGGAGAGAGGGAGCAAGAATAAAAGTGCCACAAGTAATTGACAATTGTCTTATAGATAAACTAGTTTTTACCGAGAATGCAAATCTTGTCGAATTCACGGACTCGATAGTGTTTATTCCTCGGGATTGAAGGTAACGAGCTTATTCTTTAACAGGAACCAGTAGCCGAATGGCGGTCATTCAACTGATCAACTTAGGTATCACGCAAGTCCTAGTTAAACTTTTAATAAATCTGCAACACGCAGATACTATCACGGGCGAAGTGCTCACTCAAGACATCCTCTGGATTTTGGGACAGGTGATTTTTGAGAGACGGTGCATTGTAATGAACTTGTTTTTTTAATTTTGTTTTGCAATTAGGAACAATTATTTTGCTTGGCTCGCTACCTCTGCTTGAATAGAAGAAAATACTTTTGACATGTTGTATGCCTGCACAGCAGAACCTTTATCGATCGCACTGCGTATGTCTACGAAAATATTTTTCAATTCCACTTTTTCCAGCATACGAGATTTATTTCTACTATTTCTAACTTTACGTTGTAATTTTGCGCTCTTCCAGCATTCGTTTTATTTTGAAATCATATAGAAATGTTTAAAACAAAAGTAAGCATGTAATTGTTAAGAATGTTTATAATATTTTTCTGAGAAATAGAAGTTGTTGCAATTATTTTGCAATTTTTTTCAGGTGGCTCAAAGGGACCAGAAGTTTGTGTCAAAAATGAAACTGCTCAACTCCGTGAAAGTGTTCCACGCGCTGTTGAAACAGCATTACAACAACAGCAAGACGTTATTGCCGCTGCTGTTGATCATCAAAACTCTTGCTAAAAATTGTACGCGGTAGTTCCCTTTCATGTATTGGCACTTTATTCATATGTTTGGGGATATTAAAGCTGTTACGTTTCTCGGTAGCTTTTTCCTTGCAAACACTCGTAAAGGATGGCATCACTAATACTTTGGAGAAAACGTTTGTCAATATCGGTTATACGCCACATTTGAAATTAAGAACGTTACTGGACTGCTTCAAACATTTAACGACCAATAGTAAGCACACGCGTCTACGTACAACGTATTCGACATTTTCTTTATCAATTGTCTTAATATTCACTTAATATATTTACTTATGTTACTTTCAGGACTATGTTGTAGCAAATTCGTTAAAGCGGGAATGGTACACTTGCTGATGCGAATCTTCGAGAGATGGGAGAGATTCGACGGACAGATTCGCTTAAAGATTTGTAATTACGCTCTGAATACGCTTCAGCATCTCTGCATAATAAGTAGGTTTACTAGGGTGGATTCTGAAAAAATTCTCTGTTAAAAAAGTGGCTCTCGAAGGATGATAATCTCTGGGAGAGATTACTTGCTTAATTTTATGTTTATCAGCCTCTTAAATATTTATAAATATTTTTAAAAGGCGTTCTTTTTGCCCGCCGTTCTAGAGGCTGGGAGGAAGGCTATCAAGGCGAACAATGGCCTACAGCTACTGTACCGGTTCTGCACGAGCTGTCCAGAGGACAAAGCCTATGACTGCCTGCTGTCGCGTATTTGCGGGATAATCAATCAGTGTCTGGAGAAAAAAGAGTTACCGGTGCCCGAAATGTCGCCTGCGAGGTGAATGAAACGTTCGAGGTCATCTCGTATACTGTATCTCGTGATAATCGTAATATTGTATTTTCACACAACTAGATTTAATATCGCCAGTAGTTTAAAACCAATGATATGTAGGTTTTTTTTAAACGTTCTACACTGGTCAATGTTTTTATTTAAAAAAAAAACGACATTTCGGCCCCAGATTTGGACCCTTTTGAAGTAATCTGTTCACGCGATTGTTAATGATCTCATATCGTTCGTTTGGCCAATATCGTTATGTTAGTGAGATATTAGTCAAGAAATGATTGCGCTCTTTGGTTGAAGAGCGCAAAGTCAATTGAAGTTGTACTGTTAATTGTTAAACACAAGTAAAAGTATCGAGAGACGTGTGTTGGACGAGATATCAGATTGAACTGACGGGTGACAAATAAAGTTGTCAAAAGACATGTGTTGGACGAGAGATCAAGTTGAACTCAAAACATTTTTCAAAACAAAACGAACGATACGAGATCGTTAACAATTGTGTGAACAGATTACTTGAAAAGGGTCCAAATCTGGAACAGAAACGTCGTTTTTTTTAAATAAAAACATTGGCCAGTGCAGTTTAAAAAGAACTACATATCATTGTATTTTCACGTATTTAGCGTCAAAGCGTCTTTCTAGAAAGAGTGCTACAAATATTAAGAGCTTTTTGTTACTGCCGGATATTACGACCGTGATCGAGTATCGTGAATAAGACGAATAAATAGCAGTAGCTTTCGGTTATTATCGGATTAGTTAAGGTTTAACGCGTGGAGAAGTCTCGTTTACAATCGCAACTGTGCATAATAAATTTCGGTCCAAAGTTTGGTGCAAATAAAAGTTTTTCGCACGCAGATTTGTTCTGCCCGAGGCAAACGTTAACAGAGCGAACAGTGCTGAGAGCGGCAGCGACGTTGACAGCCAGGTGTGTACTTCTTCACGAAAAATTATCGCGATTGCTGCGTTATGAGATTCGATTAAAGAATGCGTTTGTTAGAGGGAAGCTCCCTATTACGGGATAGGCTCCTAATACGAGATAGCGGAGTTTCTGTTAATTAATGGGCATCATCTGTTGGTTCCGCCATGAATTTAGTACCCTTGGAGTGAAATCTGTTTAGGGGAAAATTGATTGTTGGATCGCGCAATCGTTGCGAAAAAAGATTTGTGATTGAATTTGGACGTTGAAAACCTGCTATCTCGTATTAGAATCCTGCCTCGCGATAGAGGACTTTCCTCTAATAATATCATGTGCTTCAACGATTTTCGCTTCACAAAATGCCGCAGTGTCCGTAGTGTCGAAACTTGTGCCGTAAAACGTTCGTACGGCGCGAATATTGATTTCTGTTTAGGCGAACAGTGTGGCTTCGATCGGTAGACTGTATAGCGATCTTGATTCCGGGGACGACGAAGAGAGCCACGACTCCAGAGATACAATGGACAATGAGATTCACGTGGGCGACGAGGTGGACGAGAGCAAATTCTTCGCCGGGGTCTTTACCTCGCAGAGATCCGAGGAGGATCTCGCTGGGTAGGTGGAACATTATTTGCGGACACATCTACAGACGTCAACTATAATTTAAAGGCGTCGTTTTTTCCCCCTCCGTCAGGTACCACACGTTCTTCAAGGAGTTGGGAAATCTGCGGTCACAGCTACATATCGTCGGATCGTCGAACGTGAAGCTAACCGATCTTTGCTTGGTGGAGGACGATCAGATAAACGCGCCGCTCACAAAGGTGGGAAAGACGAAGACCTTAGTCAAGGACTTTTCGAGATCTAACGGTACACCGAAGAGTCAATTGGTGAACGGCACGCACAGTTTGAAGGTCCTGGAGGACGTGTCGGCGAACGCGACGGAGCGGCACGCGTATTGCGCCGTGGCGAGTAAAGCGAGGAGCGTTATCAGTTTCGTCAAGGTTGCTTATCCGGACCTGATCGGCGGCGACGGTATGGGGAAAGCTGAGCCGCTCAATATTAAGGACAGGAAGGTTTGCCGTGCGAAACTGCTGGCCTGCGTGGAACGCGGTCTCCACGCTGCCGCCACCATCCAGGAAGTCGTTTACGACCTTGATGCACTCGCAAGTCCCGCGCTCCGGGCAGCATCGGGCGACGAGCGATTGTTTGGTAACTGGGACGAGAAGAGGGTCGGCAAGCGTAATTTCGACACGAAACGCTTGCAATTCGAGTCCAGATTCGAAAGCGGCAATCTGAGGAAAGCCATTCAGGTACAGGTGGTCTGCTAGTCGCGTTTTATGTAATCGATTATGTTCACGTTGCATAAGGCTTCGTGGTGACTTAGCGCGGTAATTCATACACAAGCTATTCCGAGAGCACATATAAATTAATTGTTTTTTTGCTTTTGTTAAATTTCGCTGCATTAATATTTCACGTCTGCTTTCTCCTCAGATAGGTCCGCGAGAATACGATCTTATCTTGACGCCGGACGTCAATAGCGGCTCCAGGCATCAGTGGTTCTATTTTGAGGTCTCCAGCATGGAGGCAAACGCACCATACACGTTCAACATAATTAACTGCGAGAAAACAAACTCGCAGTTCAACTTTGGCATGAAGCCGATACTGTTTAGCGTCATAGAGGCGCAATGTGGCAGGCCAGGTTGGGTGAGGACCGGCGTCGACATTTGCTACTATCGGAATTGTTATCAACGCACCACCAGGGGAAAAACGTACTTTACGACATCCTTCACGGTCACGTTTCCGCATGCTTACGACGTTTGTTATCTGGCGTATCATTTCCCGTACACATACAGCCGGCTGATGACCAACATCTGGAAGTGGACGAAGACGGTCTCCGCGGCAAACGTGTACTTTCGCGCGGAGACACTCTGCGAGACTTTAAACGGCAATGAGAATCCTGTGCTCACCATTACGTCACCGGATTCGAAAACCAATCCTATACATGTGAGCATATTCTCAGATATATAAATATATATATAAACTGTTTGCGTAACAATAAGTGATTTAACGTAGCAGTTACTTAGAGCTAAATATCATCTCCTTGCAGACACGAAAGATGATCTTCTTAACATCCAGAGTACACCCCGGGGAGAGCAACGCCTCTTGGGTGATGCATGGGACAATGGAGGCTCTCCTAAGTGACAACCAACACGCCAGCAGTTTACGTGACGATTATGTGTTCAAAATAATTCCAATGCTAAATATAGAAGGAGTTGTGAACGGCTGGTGAGTTAATGATTATGCATATTTTTATCAGACCGCTTTTTTATTGGAGGAAAGCCGCGATGGAGACTTTTAACATGCCTAGCTCTAGCGTAAAACTTTCTAACTTTACATTTAAGGATAGAATGTTATAAGAGGGGACAGCGAATGGCAGACGCGTGATACCATAAGACTGTAGTCGTATCTTTATTAAAGTTACACAAGTCGCACATTCGCGCCGTTGTACACAGAATTAATATGGACTTACCATAGCAGCTAGGGAGCTGATGAAGCTACGTACGCCGATTGTCATACGTCTGGATGACGGAAACATTTACGACTGATTCTCGACGGTCTCTTTAACGTCGCGTGTCCAAAAGTATTTTGGGAATCGTCTGGTTGTCGAATGTTTCGTCTTGCAGACGTATATATATATTGTTAGCTATGATGACGATGATTACCACCTTATAAAGATATAAGACGCTGGCGGAAGCTGGCGATTTAATTCCGTAATGAACTATCGAATCTAGTAACTTGATTTTTTTTCCATTGCTTGAAATTCTATTGCCAGGGAATGTTGAACGTGGGAATTTCGTGGGAATAAACGGGGAATAGTAAAGACGCATGAATGACGATGAAAATGATAATCTGCCGGCGTCAGCGGTGATGGAAAATGAGAGCTGAGTAATTGTGTAAATGCCCTTGCGAAAATGTACAGCTTGTCGAGTAACGTCGGCAGGAGAACGATTCCTCTGCGATTGACACCACGGCTTTCCTTTTTGACATCTTTGACAGTATCGTTTTCCGAGCCGCGGCATTACTCATTCGTGTTCGCCTCAAGCACCGAGTAATACTAACGGACGGTTCGAGATAATCGTCTCTGCCTGCCGCCGACCGAGGAAGCTGATAATAGTGCCTGTCTGGTCCAAAACTATCGAGCATTATATCGGGTACGCCTTAAGTTAGAGCTAAACGGCGAGCGGTGACAATGGTAGCCATTGGTCTGAACGGCGACAGCTCGCTCGTGTCACACGTGCAAAACGCACTCTGATATACATATACAAATATATATATATACCTATATATATACCTAATTCCTCAAGAATGTCGATCTGTGTTTCTGTCACTTATAAAAACGAAATAACGCGACGTTATCTAGGAGGAAGTAAAGCGTTACTTGGACGGAGGGTCTAATACTTTGCCGTTGGTGCGCACTTTGATGTTGTACCTGTAGGCCGGTTCCGCCTCTGGCAAGATCGTGCTACTGTCGTCATCCTGATCCTTCATCATCGTCGCGTCCGCCGCCGCCGCCGACGACGACGACGACGACGACGACGCCGCCGTGTCCGCCGGCTGATCGTTGACGTAATCTTGCACGCTGTCGTACGGCCCAATCGTGTGGGCGTCCTCGAGACCGTTGTTCGGCAATTCCGTCTCCGCGGCCAGGTCGCCGTAGTCGGGGGACTCGCGATGCTCCATCTTCATCTCCGACGAGAAGGAGGAGGAGACGGCGGAGACGACGGGACGGGAGGCCGACGGCCGCAGAACCTCGCGGGTCTCGAGGCCGTCGAAGACGTTGTCCTTGCGCGCTTGTGACGCCACGGTGAACAGGCTCGCGATGTCCGGGATGTGCTCCGGTCTGATATCGTCCAGGTCGCCGACGGCCGTGCGCTCGCGCTCGTTACCGTCGTCGAACAGCGACGTCGCCGTCGTTCCCGTGTGCTGACGGGACTGCTGCTGCTGCTGCTGATTGCCAGATGCGGGAGCGGCGGTGGTGATTAGCCTGCTGACGACCGGATCCTCTGATAATTTCTCGCTCGCGGACGCGTCCGCTTCCAGTGGTGTTGCCTCCTGTTCGTCCTGGACATCGGTACTCGGATGGTGATCGTAGATATTAGTGCTGTCGGTTACGTGATCACTTGCTTGGTCGTCGCTGGCTGGCGCCGAGGTGGTCGTGATGTAGGGCCTGTGATTTCTAGAAAGATAGAGGGGCTTGTTCAAGAGACAATCGTCGCCGTCGCCTTTTTAGCAACAATTCAAATCATTAACTTCTCGCCAATTTATTCCGGATATTTATTGTTAAATTAGCGGCCTTACGATTATTAGTGGCTTGACTTAAGCACCGTATTAATAGCAGAGGAAAGCGTAGCTTCACCGTCGATGGATTAGCGTAAAATATTTTCGCAGCGGTTATTTGCGCCGAGTGAGGCCGTACTTGTGTGTACGTATGCGTGTATGTAAGAAGTGTATCGTTTATCTGAATATCGTGCGTCAAGAAGCGAGAGAATAATTGCGTTATTAAGAATAAGCTATAAAGGCTGGAATTCCGTATCGTGACTGAGCTATTCTCATTCATCGACACGTCTGTCCCGTAGCTATTAGCTATGCGAGGAAGATGTTGAAGAACTGGTTTAATACCGGCGAGAGTCAGTATCTATAGCGTCTTGATCGTCGCAATAACTGTTCCCCATTCTGCCGCGTATTGCGGAAGAAAAAGCATTCCTCGCGTTTCAAGCTATTTCTATCTCTCGCTAGATTGCACGGAGGAAAAAGTTTGTTCCGGTGACTCGCCGGGACTCACCTCGTTTCGCATCTTCGTAAATAATCGCGGAGAGGAGCACGGAGACTCGAGTTCTACGTACGTTCTACGGGATCGAGATTACAGTGGCGCGTAGTTGACACGTTACGCACTTACGAGTCGCGAATGCGACAGTGAATTTTCATCTGTCGCCCAATCGTCCCGCATACTTCGGTAGCAGAAGGGATAAATACGTTCAATTATCGCGATATGCGTTTGCATAGCTTATCGCTGGAGGGTTGTTCACTTTTTGCACTCCGTGCATAAGCGAGATTCGTTTACAAGGTACGTCGGTATTCCTGGACTCCCTTTTTCTCTCCCTCCCTCTCTCTCTCTCTCTTTCTTTCTCTCTTCTTCCTTTCGACTTGTGTATTTTTGTGACAAGTATTATCTCACCTCTTACCCCTGAGTCGCGGAGACTGGAATGCTGCCGTAGTTGTAGTAATAGCATCTTGTTTGCTCGCAGATAAAGTCCTTCACGAGAGTGCAATCCTGCGCCTCCCAGGCTAACGTAGGTGCTACCATTGCGACGCATCCGTCCGCGCTGCCGCTGTCGCCGCTGAAATCGAGAAACTCGCGTTTCGGAATTTAAACGAGAATACCTGTTCTGTTGTTAGCTATTCCACACACGAGTTTCCGGGTGTTAGAACTGCGGAAGAGAGTGGCTGATAACCGTTGCTCGTGACAACTACGATCGACTAGTCTGCGATTCTTCGACCGTGAAAAATGATATTGACTCATTGAAACTCAACGGCGGCGCCTATCATTTTTAGCATTCAAGTGGAGGTGTAAATATTGATTCTTAACGTTTAGCCGATGTCTTCTGATTTTGGACTGACGTTTCTTTTTTTTTTGTTTCTTTTTTACTAATTAACAGTACACGATCCAATTAAAGACGTTACCTTTCACGCGCCACCCTTTGGGGTTCGGTGCCGGGTGGTACGTCGGCAGGTCTGTTGCCAGGTCGCTTCAGCATGTAGTCGAAGGTGACGTTAAACGGCAGTCCCGTGCTCATCCACAAAAACATGTCGGTGCCGAGCTTGTTGCCGGAGGTCCAAAAGTCGTATTTCGTGTAACCGGCGTTCTTCAGGTATTGCGTCATCGTGTCGGCCTTCTCTTTCGTCTCGAAAGATGCCAACTGGAGGCCCAGCGAACGGCAATATTGATACGCCAGGAAGTAATTCAGTTCCGGACTGTAGGGATTCATTCGCGATACAAAGTATTGTATACCGTCCAGCTGGATCGTCGTGATCCTCTGAGCTGTAAACGAAACATTTCACATTTCTCTTTAATGTCGTCGAAAGCTGCGCTTGCATCACGTCTCAATTTCGACCACGTTAAAAGCGCGCTCTAAACAAACTCAATTGCAGCACGTGCGCGAAATTGGAGCACATTAGGTGATACCATTCTCGCGGTAATTCGACTGTATGCATGTATGTATGCTTGACTATTAAATTAACGCGACAGCAGCGGTAACAATTATATCTGTTAAAAAAAGATTTTTATATTCTCATGTCGCTCCAAGTATGTTTTGACTTTCTGCAATTATAGTACAATTCAAAAGGGAAAATTTTTCAATTTAATCCTTACAACATATTTTAAACCCTATAGCTGAGGTAATATTTTTCGCAATAAATTTAAAAAGAAGAAATATTCAGGCACTAACGTCCTGTCACGGCTCTTTATTCCTTCGAATTGGTCTTTACCACATGAGAGCCCTTTGAATTTTATTGACTTGTCAACGTATTTTAAGAAAAATATATATATTTTAGAGCGACTTATGGGGCTCACCGGAGCACGTCTGTCCGGTCAGTCCCGACAAGGCTACAAATGGCAGTAGAGACGCGAGAGAATGCGTTCAGTGAATATTAATGTAACATCCCATTTTAGTATCGTGGTGCCCGAAGCTTGCGATCGAGAACCGTTACTTCATTAAAAACGTCCGTACATCTTCCAATACAGCGTGTAAAATGAGATTGTTAGTGTAGGAACGATAGCTCCGACGTCAAGATTTAACAATAATTATAATATTTAACAATAATTAAGCCTCCAATCGACCATAACTGGCAACGTGTTTTTAACACAGAAAATTTATTGCGGAAAATATAGCCAGGGCTTGAACCTGGACTTCCCCTGGACCCAAACCCCGGCTGAGGTAATATTTTTCGCGAAGAATTTTCTGCGTTAAAAACACGTTGCCAGTTATGGTCGATCGAAAGCTTAATTGTTGTTAATCATGTACTGGCGTAAAATAATTCTTGATGTCGAGATTTTAACCGAAACATTTTTTTAGATGGTTCGCACGTGACAATAATCTCCATAACTTAATCATGATAAACGTTTCAACGGCAAGGAAAAGGGTGATTTAAATTTATACGCTAAGAAGCGTCATTTTCATCGCATTATATGTGATACAATACAGGACGCGGTAAGAGGAGCGAAATTGAAGCGACTGTTCCAGCGTTGTCCGCTTCATAATACGATTTTAATTTCACTCTAAATGCGTACCCCGGCGCGACGCGTTTTTAGCCGGCTTCACAATGACTCGAAGCTTTACGACAAGGGCAGTGTTCACACGATATATCAAGTTGCGGGTTCATTGAACCGCGACGGCTATTTGGTTAACTGTACTTATGAATTATGACGCGCCGAGACCCCCGAATAGACCGTAGGTGAACGAGTGTCGCAACTAATGCGAGTCCCTCTCGCATTGTTTCTGGCCGCGATTGTTCTGTACCTTGTACTACGTGTTTACGGCTGCAAAGACTAAAAGTGTATAAGAAAACTTGACTTTTTCTTAATTAAAAGTCCGGAGATATTTAAAGAAATAGAGAGGAAATGCCAAAACGCCTGGTAATTATATGCTTGCGGTGAACGAGTCGAGATATTTCTTGGTACCCTTACGTAACGGAGTTACGAAACAAAAGGGGGCTTTGGTGCAAGAAGAGAGAACAAGCTCGGCCTGCACGTATAGTCGTAGTCACGGAATTTAAAAGATTCACCGATTAACGAGATCGAGATAAGAGAATCAAAGGGACAAGTGCGAGACGATATCGTCGCCTCTTTAATTTTACAAAAAGACAACGGGGGGTTCGAGACTTGTTTGTCACGGTAGCCCGAGGAATCTCGGCGGGATCGAAGCGGATCAATCTGCGTTTCCCAAGGGGGGGCTAATTTCGCACAGACGCGGAGCACGTCGTTATACAACGGGCAGCGAAGCAAGACGGGGCGAGATATCCGTTCGGCCGGTCGGCAGAAGTCTAGTCACGGCTCGGGATACTTCGTAGAGGCGCATCCGGAGCAAAAACGTTCCGGATCGTGAAGTTGGACGTGCAGGTGGTGGTAAATGACCCGAAGGCCTTGAGACGTCTGCCGTCGGTGTATGCGCGCGCGAAAGAAGAGGCGACTAGCCGCTTTAACTACAGCTTCGTTCACGTAATGCGTTCCCGCCGTTCGGCTAATGATACTCGACAAGATTCCCGGTCCAACGAACGAATACACGAGCGAGTACACGAACACGGCGCTCGAATCTCTATAAACGGTCTCGGCAAACGTTCATCCATTTTTCCTCTCCTCTATTTTTTATGTCTGCAAGTAACGAGCCTTTGAATAGCCTCTTCGTGCGCAGGGTTGTCTTCTCGTGGCATGTGATACCCACTTTTACTTGCCGAGACTCCGATACATATCGCGCGCGAATATTGTAAAATGCTTCTCTTTCAGTGTGTGAATATTTGTCAAAGAGAGAGAGACGTTAATTTTACTTATCATTGTTTCACCGTTCAAAAGTATTGCTTCTCTAAATGTTTATCCATTCTGAATACTGTATTATAATGGGCAGAATTTTTTAAGGACAGAAACTCTCCGAAGAGACACGATACACCCGCTGCATTATGTTGCTCGTGTGTTCTACCATCGGTTGTTTCCGGTCCCAACGCTGAATGCGCTGACAGTTGGCGCAGGGGTTTTTTTTAATGACGGGAAAAGTGCGTGTTTTAGAAACGTCAAGCGATATAGAAAGGTTTGAAAGTCTGAAAATGTATTTAACGAGGATACCATTGGAAACAGTCGATTAAAACGAGGAAAATGGAGAAAGTGCAAAATTTGAATACAACGAATCAAGTACTTGCAGCTGGTCCAGAAAAAGATATAGCGAATATACAATGAAGGAATGTATTTAGGAGAAACATTTAAATATGTTGTGAAATCTTCACGCAAAATATTAATAATGAACTGCCTGTGACGAGTCCAATGAAGCATTTAATCAGACATTGGGAATTTTCTCGACTTTCATCTTTTCCGAATTTTTGGGACTTCCTTCGGTGGCAGAAGGGCCGATTATATCTCACGGTTTCCACGAATAACACTGCGCGTTAAGCGGACAATCAGAGGCGCAAGAAACGCCGATGGTCGAGCGGAAGAGTGTACCCAACGTGCTCGTGATGAAGTCGAGAGAACAATCATTTCATAATAATGAAGACGTCACCGCGGGTGTTAAAGCGAGCGCGAACGAGCCGGCATTGTGTCGTGGTGTAAAGAGGGTACTAACCTGAGGCGAAGGCCGCGACGACGAAGAGCAACAGGACGATCTTCATGTTAGCGTGCCGATTACTGTATTGGCAGTGCGGCGATCAAGCAGTCAGTCGTTTCCGTTTCCGACCCTCTCTCTCTCTCTCTCTCTCTCTCTCTCTCTCCCTTTCTCTCGGAATACACCGGATGTTAGTGTTAGGGTCGCGTTCTCGGACTGGCCTCGCGCCGCGCCGTGAGCCCCCTTAAGAGTCTTCTGCCCGGATCCCAGAGGAGGGGGTCGTTGAAGATGATTCACTACTGGCTAGAGCAGAGCAGAGGAGCCCAACGCGCGAAAGGGACGGCGGTGGCGACGGCGACGGCGACGAAGACGACAACGATGACAATGACACGAAGACTAATCGAAGAGTAAAGAAAAGAAAACGACAGGTGACAAGATCGGAGGAAGCAGACACAATGGGTGTTCAGGCTGAACAACGTGGAGGCGATTCGGTACGGATCGCCCTCTCCTCTGTCCACCCTCGACTGCGAAGGTGATGTGCGCAATCGAGGCTGCACGTTAGGATCCGAGGGGAATGGCTCTCTTCCCGCGGCCGTAAAGCGTCCGCGAGGGACAACCGTGGACGTTTACCGGCGGAAATCTTTCTCGACAGGTGGAAAGTACACCTCGGACACTCGACGCGAATCGTTTTTAACGATCAGAGATTCAGATCGCTTCGATAATACGTCCGGCAAATAATTAAATTCTCGCTCGCCCGCTCAACGGAGCGGTCGTACGTGCTCTCGCGTGTCGGATAACAAATTAATCGCCTTGGATCGATCATCGGTCGTTAGAGGAAATAATTATTTTGCAAGAAAAACCGCTCCAGTTGTCGAAGGAGCCAGCCACTTGTCAGGCGCGCGGTGCGCACGCTCCTCTCTCATTGGCGCGATAGTAAATTAGCGCACACACAACGTGTGATTACGTCGGGTTAATTATATTAACTAGCGAAGCGTCGTATGAATAATGTTTGCTCGGCGAAGAGGTATAATCCATTTGTAAGCAGTGTATCGCGCGGACGTGAAATAATGGAGGGGCGAGTAATAGCAAGAACGTCGTTATCCCCGTATCGATCAACGTAGCGTTTACGTTAATCCCATTAATAACATCTGCGCGCTCGCGCTCGCGCTTACTTTGTTCCCCGACACTGTTAAATCCCCCTTTCGTCGTAGCGCCATCGCTTCTTTCGCTCGCGGTGCGGAATTTTACTCTGCCGCGGTCTTCACGGTTCTCCGTGGATTTGTATCGACGGCGAGCGGCAAAAAAGACGGCGGTTTCAAGGCAGACTTCATTTCTGAACGCCTCCTCGGAGGCATCCTCTCGCGCTCCGATATCATCCATCCCTAAAAATCCGCCTCACTTCATTCGTCAGCGAAGCGACACGCACGATCGTGCCGCTCAAATCCAAACGCTAATTGCAACAAATCGCCTGCCTTCGAGAGGGAAATCCGTAAATTATACCTTCGATCTGTGGAAGGCCGGCTGGCGAACATCGCTACCTGGATATCTGGCCTGGCGTTTCGTACCAACCAACTGGACTCTCGATTATTAATACCTACGTAACGAAGTCTCTCGTCCAAGTACCTCGTCCGAAATATCGGCCTGTCTAATAATACGCGTAAACCTCGCTCGACAGAATCGAAGCGAGGGATCACGCATGCTTCGGCGCCGCGAAGAGAACGACGGTCTCAACCGGTCGCTCCCTTCGCGTCCTTTGGCGCCGTCCTCTTCTCGCTCGACTTCTCTCCAAGTGCATCGTCATCGCAAAACCCGATGGAATTCTGGCTCACCGACTGCGAGCGGTCACACGCACGCACACACGCACGCACGCACGTACGCAGATATCGCGGTGCGGCGCGTGCGAGGACTACCGGGCGCGTCTCAATTAAGCTTTCGCGTGATTAATGATACGAGATCGTATCACGTGGAACGCATCATCCCGTTCTCCGCGGGCGAGGCGTATTAACGAGTTATCGCATTCCCCGTGTGTCATACGTTCCATTTGCGTTTCGCCGATCGATCGGTGAGAAGCGTATTTTTCGCGAGCTGTCGTCTCCCGAGCTATTCCGCAATCTTAATGCCGACGCTTAATCGGGGCCGCTGCCAGTCGGGTACTTTTCTCGATACCTGCGATTCCATTCTTCATCACTGTCGCCGAATCTTCGCAACGTCGACGACGAGTCTCTCCCGTCGTCTCAGCGTTTCTTATTGAAAATCTCTCAAGTTTATCTTGAGGTCGGACACTTGGTGTGGAAAAGTGTTTGCGCGTCACCTGTGCTTTATTTTCTGTCCTTTGCCCCGACTCGTTTATTTAACTCACGGCATTTCATTCACAGCGAAAACTGTTCGTCTTCGGAGAGATCGTCGGGCGAGAGATTCTTCTTCAATATTTGATAAGACTATTTTAATGTACGCTTTATTTGTCCAGCTAAAATTTGCTATAGACCAATATTTCTCAAGGGAGTGAAGGACCCCGGCACAAACCTTACCAAAAAAATGGACTTCAGTCCATTTCAGCGAAATCCACCTGCTTCCATAAGGCCTGCGCGGGGTCCTTTGGGGTAAACATTTCGTATGTTAAACTAATGAAGCTGTAATCCCGTGTATCGAGTGCATCGACGCGGGCCTGTACCGATAACGCGGTTCGCAAAAAGGCCCGCGTCTCAAGGTAGGCTTCATTTCTGACCATGTGCTCCCGTCTGGTCCGGGAGATCGATCCACCTGCTCGCGAGATACGTCGCGAGCGAATATCGGTTGACCAAGTCGTCCGATCACAATGTCGGAACCGGTACGAGAGAGGCATCCCCCTCGTATCTCATCCCCCTGGCTGCCGTCCGTATACGGTATTACCTCTGTCAGCCGAAGATTCTGCCTGGTGGCGGAATCGCCGGATCAATGATCAGATACGCGACGTGTTATTTCTGGTACACGGCGCGCTGTGCGGGCGATCGTGAGCAAAAAGGACCTCGCGTGACATCCAAGACCTACCGCACAACGGAAACCGGCTCTCTATTTATGTCTCTGTCTCTCTCTCCCCGGCTCCGCGCAACGTCCGCTTGTTGCAGCTCTCGCACGGGAGGATGCCGTGCCACGAGCTTAATGACAGGGTAGCGCGCCGTGACGGTTTCCTTCGTGGACTACGATTCAGGAATGCAGATGAATCGGCCGGAGTGGCGCGCGGCCCGAGCCGGAGAAGGCTTTCGCGACCGCCGCGTCGTCGTGGCTACTTGAGCGGATGATGCGTTTGGTGGCAGGACGAGACGCGAGACGCGCGATGCGGATCCTATCAACGGAGAAGAGAGCGTTTTTACGAGAGACCGAGCAAGATTCATCGCTTTCACATTCGCGTATTACCGTGATACATCTTCCTTTAACACCAAGATGCGGCGCTGCGATAAAATTAATCAGCTTTACCGCTCGCAGACTCGCCCGAGAGAAATAGGATATTCGGCTGCGGGGAACTCGTTCAGATTTCTGCGCGCCGTGAACGCCCGGGTTTGTTGTACCTCGCGGCGCAAGTCACGTTTCGCCGCGTCGCGGCCGGTACCTTGGTGTAGGTCAGTTTAACAGGTTGAGTTCCCATCGTGGTATTCCCGTGGGAATGCACCGCGTCCGCTCGAGTGCACTTACAGTCCGGCCACACCATGCTTACGGGCTTCTCTTCTCTGTGTGGTGGTAGGTGAGACGAAAGCAGAAGCTCGGTGTACTGGATAAACAAGCGATTCTCCAGCGGCACCTTCCGTTCTCTCTCACTTCATTTTCTTCGTCGTCGTCGCCGCCGCCGTCGTCTTCGTCGTCGTCGTCTTCGTCTTCTTCTTCGTCTTCTTCTTCTTCCTCCCCCCCGCCTTTCGCTTGATCCGCTCCATGCGAGGGAGATGCTAGGAACAACTTCTCAGCCGCGCCAAGGGACTTGGTCTTTTTTTGCTAAAACAAAAGCGAAGACGGGGGTACGCCGCGGCGCGGCCAGCGGCGGTCAGCGGCGACCATCGTCGGCCGCGCGACGAAGAGGACGAAGAGAGGAAGGCGGCTGGAACAGGAGAGTCGAGAGGGAGGATGCCACAGGGGGATTCTTGCCGAGGTCTATTTCAGGCCCTGCCAGCAATCGCTATGTAAGGCCCTCTTCTTTCCTTCCCTCGCTCGCATCTCTTCTCCCGTCTTTTTCCCGTCCGAACCCCCCCGCCCCTCCTCCCCCGTTGTTCTTACACCCGGTACCCCCTTCATCTCTGCTCCGTGCGCGTCTCGCTTCCTCTCCTTTTTTCTGTGTGTACGGAACTCTCGGTTTTAGCTCGCGAACAGCCTCGGACCGAGGCGATCGGAGGAGCCCGCACTGCCCCGAAGGCTTCGACGGCGTTCGTTCCTCCATTTTGATACCTCTAGGACAGTGGTCCTCATGCGGCATTTCGCGATCTATCGAGGAAGCGTGAAAGACGTCACCCCCCCCCAACCCCCCAAATACATGAAAATCGTCTCCGCGATAAGGGATGAATGCCATGATGAACGGGCGACAAATCGACCGACGGCTCTCTTTCGAAACAGCATCTTTTAGAGAAACTCGCTGGAGGGGTCCACGATTTCGCCGTATCTTACAGAATTTCTTAATTTGCAAAAATTTGCTGTAACATTCCGAGTAGTCTTCGCGAAGATATTTCTCCGTACTCGATTCTCTCGAGCGGCAAAGCAACGCCGAGGAAGACGAAGACTGAGGGAAAGGGAATCGCCTGGACAGGCGGATTCGGCGCGGAAAGACGTAACTATTTATAGAATTCGGTTCTATCCCGAAAGAATCTCCAATTATAAGTGTGTGCAGAAGTGGTCGAGCGACTTCATAGTACCAAAGGGCCGCGCGACCTTGCACACTTTTTTACGGTTCACTCTTTGGGAGCCATAATTCAGTTAGTACCAGAACAGCTTGCGGATTTGTTCTTCTCTTTGGAGAGTCTTAAAACAGTGATTCTCACCTGCACCTCGGCCTTTCGAGTATTTTTACGGTGCGTTCCGTTTGCCAAGAACGCGACGATAATAACATTACGGAGCTTGTAATCTCGCGCGACGAGCATCGCATTTTTCGTACAACGTCGTCGTCGCTAACAATTAATTCCTGCTTGCCCCCGAGTCTTGCTAGAGATCCGAGAAGGATAAAAAATGGCAAGATGCAAATAATATGTATTACTGGAAAATAAA